CAAATTTTTATTTTAATAATCAAGTTGATTAAAATATTTAAAAAATCAACTGATTTAAATCAACCTAGCTTTGACTTCAATTATGGAGAAAAAAAAGTAAATTGAATACTGTATTATGTTACAGTGAAAGGAGGGAAAGCAGACTTTTAAACATGATTATATTAGTCTACTTAACCTTATATCTGTTTTATGAAACCAAGGAAAGGAATTCTGAATATTGAAATATGTAAAAACTGAATAAAAATAATGTTTTTAAAAAGTGATTTAAATCACTGATTTTTACTTTAAAAATCAAGTTGATTTAAATTTAAAAAATCAACTGATTTAAATCAACCCAACCCTGAATATTACTATTACTATTATGTTTTGTCTTCTGTATTCTCAGAACATCGCTGGGCGAGAGTACACAAACATCAAGTACGCCACAGGAGTGGTGGAGGCGGCAAAGAGGGCCCAGGCTGCGGGCGGGGTACCTCCCCCTGTTCCTCCACTGCCCAGTCAGGGGGCTCGTCGGCGGGAAGTCAGGTGAGACATGGAGAGGGGATGACAGATTTCCTGAGTTTTCCTTATGGTTGTTGTTGTTGTTGTTGTTGTTGTTCTTTTTCTTCTTCTTCTTCTTCTTTTTCTTTTTCTTCTTTTTCTTCTTCTTCTTCTTCTTCTTCTTCTTCTTCTTCTTCTTCTTCTTCTTCTTCTCCTTCTCCTTCTCCTTCTCCTTCTCCTTCTCCTTCTCCTTCTCCTTCTTCTTCTCCTTCTTCTTTGTAGGTGATTGGTGGGTGCTCTGGTATTGTTTGCTCTTTCTTTCCTTTCAAGCATCTATCTTCCTTATCTCACCGCCTTTTTTTTGTGTTAGTGTTACTCTCTTGTAACACTTCTAATCTTCAGCACTTATATGACCTAATTGTTTTGAAAGTACTGTAAGACTCTTATTTGAACCTTTAAAAAAATGTTGTTCTGCTTATTTTTGTTCATCTTCTTCTTCAATTGTTGGAGAGTAGTGGGTTTAAGAATGCTTTAACTTGGCCTGCTTTTTGTACTTCTTTTTATCAATCTAACCCAGTTCCTTGTGAAATTATGGCTGTTTTGGTGCAGACTATCAGTCCGCGCACTCCCGTGACCTCATACAGTTGCGAGTGCCGTAAAACACTTACCAGAGAAAAAAGAAAAAAAGACTATCAGTCACCTGCTCCAAACAGCTATATTCATCCCTTCTGCTGGAATCAACGACAAACACTCTCCCACAGACTGACTTTAGAAATAAAGTCAAAAAGTACACCTCCAGTCTGTGGGAGAGCCACTGGGATAACCAGAAAAATAATAAATTATATGAAATTAAACCCAGACTAGAACAGCGAAATCCTTCGGATCTCTCCAGAAGAGACGAAGTCATTTTTACTCGATTGCGCATCGGACACACGGCCCTGACCCACAAATACCTCCTACAGGGAGAGGAGAAGCCGTTCTGTGTCGGATGCGACACAGATTTTACCATTAGACACATTTTAACAGAATGTCTAGACTTCGGAGAGATCCGAAGGAAATATTATAAATGCAAGAAATTGCAGGATATTTTCTCCGTCGTTGTTCCCAGCAGAATTTTAAATTTTATAAAGGCCATTGGCCTTTATGGCGAGTTGTAAAGTGAATCTGATATTATTTAAAATTTTTAATGTTACTTAAAAGTTGTTTTAGATCACAAATGTATTTACACCGAATTTGAATATTTTAACTTTTTAGCATTTTAAAGTAAATTAGTTACCAGTCGTGAAGTGAACTTTCGCAGAGGTGAACAACTTGTGTTTCGCGCGCTCATATGACCTTAGCAGTTGCGAGCGCCGTAAAACCTTATACTACTACTACTACTACTACTACAGCTATATTCTTTTAGTTTTTAATTCAATAAAGACAATATCGATTCCCATTTGAGGAGAGTTTTTATTGAGTACCTCTGTCTGTCTGCTGGGACATTATATCCCTCTCAGCCTGGATGGGCCTGCACAGGCAGCCTGCCTCCAAAATGATCAAAAGAGTGTTGATGGGGGCATCGGTGGCCTAGTGGTTAGTCTCTCTGACTCGCAACCGTAAGGTTGTGGGTTCGAATTCTGTCAGTGACCTGGTGTTGTGGCCTTAGGGAAGGCACTTTACACGCATTTTCCTCCCTTGACCCAGGTGGGAATGGGTACCCAGCTTTTAGACAGTGAAAGATCTTGTCAGTTTGTTAGTGTTTGGGCGCTTAATCAGCTGATTGCACTGTATGCCTCCCGGGAAGCTGAGAATGTTTCGGAGTGTACTATGGTCTGCTGGGGTAATAATTATTATTGTGTAAAGCGCATAGAGCTTGCTGTCGAGCGGGGATATGGACTGTACAAATGCTTTTTATTGATAATGATTAAATTTTCTACAAATATAGTTTTGCCTTATTTTCAGGCCGCCCCAGGAGGACCCTTCCATGCAGTACCAGAACATCAACGCAATGGAACTTTCCTGATCACACGACGGTCAGCGTGTACTCGCCGCACTGTCCACGTCATTCATCTCTCGCCAGTTCCAAGGAGAAGACAGGGTACGCACGTGTAATTATCCGACGGACGTGAGAGCGCAGGTTGATTCTGTTCAGGCTGCCTGTTATGGCCGCAGCTGTCTTGTTGTTTGTTGTTAGAGGACGGATCAGTGAAAATTGTTGTTCTGATAGGAGGTTTTTGGGGATGTGATGATGGATTTGAAGGACGGTGTTGATGTTTTGCATTGTTAGAATATAGATTTCTTTTCTTTTTTTGTTTTGTTTTGGAGTTGTTAAAAGCGCAAAGACATTTTCTTTTGTCTTGGTTTGTATAGTCAGTATTGCAATTTTGATTTATTGTGAAGCAGTTGAGTATGAAAAAATGTTCCTCATGTACTGTGAGTTTTTGTATTTCTTTGTTTTTTTGTTGTTGTTACAGTTGTAAAAAGTCTTGCCTCAAGAAGATACGTCTTCATTTAATTATTGGTACACATGCACAGGAATTTTAAAAAATTGGTTGATTTGAAATTCTTTGATGACGCAAGCTGGAAATAGTCACTGATTGCTCAGTTTTGCGGGTGGTTGGAGGGTGCCAATGTTTTGTCCTTCAGCCTGTTATCTTGTTAGTACTTTCAGTATGGCTTATTCATATTTTGTCTTTCCTTTAGTCTTTACGTTCAGGTATCGCGTTTGTTTTTTACCTCTGCTATTGAACCATAATTGTGATATTGTGTTGTCATTTTTTTTTTCTCCAACAAAGTTGCATTTTCTACCATGTTTTTTTCTTAGCTCGAGTGGTTGAAGGGCGCCATTTGTGGGTCCTTTTTCTTTTTTTCCCCTCTGTTGTTTCTATCTGTCTTTCTTGCTTTTTCTCAGCACTAAATGACCGTTATTGTGTCAATATGCATCTCTTTACTCAAACAAAGTATGTCTTACTTGTCTTTTTGCCTTGTTATTGTGCTGTTGGTTTTTGTTTTGTTTTTTTAAACTCACTCAAAACTGCTTGTTCGGCCATGCTTTATCCAAGCAGGAACTGACCCACCATTTTGTTGATGTGCTTTTTTTAAGGACCTTAGTTGAAAAGTAGACCACTCTGCCTGTAGTCCTGTAGTGGATGCCAGAAATGTCTGGCTTTTTTTCCCCTACAGTAATCATGTGTGAGGTAGACCTATTGATAGAGTTTTTGCTAGAGATCTGATGCTCGTTACAGTGTTTTACAAGTTTCCCTTACGAAATAAAGAATCTGAGCTTTTTTTCTGTGCTTTCAAGAATACTCTTGGGGAAAATTTGATTTTTTTTGTTTGTTTGTATTCGCGACCTCAGTGCTTTCTTGTCCTATCTCCATTTTTAAAAGTGAGTTTGAAGAAGCCACATTTTTACTGTAAAAAAAAATATGGAGATAAGACAAGCAAGCACTGAGGTCACTGTATATTAAAGGACATAAGCTAATCGAATTCTCTGTTAGGTGTATTCTAGGTTCTTTGTGTTGATCCTTTCGACTTTTGAAATTATTCCATGTGTGTTTGGCTGTGTTGAAATTCCTCCACCTAATGGTCCACCTGTGAAATCGTAGTTGCTGTGACGCAATTTTTGATTCTAGAGGTTGTATATAGCATGCTATGACTTTTGAAGAAAACGTCAAGGATATTAATTATTAAGAATTAACTCGAAAGTGGTGCATAAAACCCATGTTCTCAGTAGTTGTCTAATGTTACCACCAAGTATTTTGAAAACTGATTCTGGAACTTACCCTATTCTGGTGTGCTGAGGGCAATTGGAAACAGTTCTTTGTATGACACGCTATTTTTGTTGTTGTTGAAAATGTCGGACAACATTTGAAATTCTTGAATAGGCTTAGTTTCAAACTGCCCTTGTTATTTTCTATGTTTCATCATGCTCATAACATAATTGCCTAGGTCATTTTTCAAAAAAATTATTTTGAGAAAATATTTTTAAAAAGCAGGGCTTATTCAACTGAAGTAACTCCAGGACTTAAGTAAAGTAAAAATTTCTTAATGACTGAATTTGTAGTAGTCGGAACTACACCCTGAATGCGCAACAAGTAAGAGGTATTTTTTTACTCTACCAAAATCTAGAAACATGGACAAAATTATGTATTCTATTATGTTTTGACCGTGATGGTTTAGTTGATGAGTAACAACACAACTTTTTTACTTTATTGGAAAAGATTGTTTGACTTCCTTGCTCCCCGAGAACAAACATAGTGCTGTCAGTGTTTGTGGCACAGAAAACCTATTCTGGTCATGTAGCGTTTCTGAGATCTATACTTTTTGCACTGAGATATAATATAATGTATTTGTCTATAAAGTTACATCAAAGAACATCGAAAAAGATGGGCTATTATTTTCTATTCGCTGTACAAAACAAAACTTCCTCTACAAACTGTGTGGTGACATTTAGAAAGAAAAGTAATTCGGGAGTTATTTTTTGAGAGAGACGTATTTTGTATTCAGAAAGTAGGAGCAAATATTTTTCTAAAAGAGATTCTTTTTTCTAAAGAAATGAAACAAAGCGCCTATATCAGCGATGGCATCAACATTTATATTATATTGCTTTATATAAACAACGGAGGATGCTTATATAAAAAGTGACTTATCATGTACGCAATCTTTGGTAATCTTTGAAAAAGCCACTCTGAGCTAGAGTTTTTGGCACAAAGGGTTTTTTATATTTTTTTTACATACATCATCTTGTAAATTTGATAAAAGATAGTAAATTGTGCTGCTGGCTGACTGCTTGATTCTTTGTTTGACATTAGATATGTCTATATAACTTGTTTTTGTACATATTTAATGCTTTCAATCCATGCATACATACGCCTACATATATTCATGCATACATTTTGTACACATGACAGTAAGAAGGTATCATTTGTCTATGGCCTATATGTATGTACCAAACCTGAAGTCTTTTATTTTATATATCTAAATTTGTTCCAAACACACGACCGCTATAAATTGACTACTTAGTGTAAGCCTCTGTCACACTTCACTTTTGAAAATGGCATATGGCGGAGTCTTACATCAGGTTGCCCATATATAATCCTTTGTTACAGATTCACAACATCAGATTTCCATCAATGGTAGAGAACGATTTCCAAAAGTTTTTATAATAATAATAATAATACAAGTTTGAAAACGGTTTCTTTGTCTAAAGAAAAAATACATTCATGTAGAGATGATAGTAACATTCTCGAATATTCTTTTAGAACACAACTGAAAAGAGGTGGTGTAATTAATATTGATAGCTGTGCTGTCATTTGTGTTAACAGTGTCGCTTTAACTTTAATTTGTTTTTCCATTTTGACGGCTTTGTGTATGATTCCATCCATACGCCATTTGAAAAGTGACGTATGATAGAGTCGTACACTGAAAAGTTGATTTATATTCAGTCTACTCTTACATCTTTGAGTAGATTGATCAGTGTAAGGAGTAGATTTGTTATGTTTCTGAGAATTAGAGAAAAAAAAACTAGAAATAAAACCTACATAAAACATGTGTGCCTCTCCTTTTCACTAATTGCTCAATGCTTGGCCAGCCCCTCTAGTCGCTTGTAGCATATTGTACATTTACATCATTGTCGTGGGGTAGAGGGTGCCGTACCGACAGGGGAAGTAGGTGCTAGTTGAAGTCGGGGACGGGCCTTGGGAGGTAGGGAGTTGGGGGGGAATTCTGATTGATCTGTCCAAATTATGCTGTGTAAACTGATGGCTGGATCACGATTGAGGGTTTTTGTTTTGGGAAAATTAATTTCGCTTTGTTCCGGTACATCGTCTTGTGCAGGAAAGATTTACAATCATGATTACATGATGGTTTTATTAAAATGGAAAATTGTATTTCAAAATTTAGAAATTCATTATTTAACAAATGTGGATAGCTTTAGGTTTAGATAAATAATATTTTGAGTGCTTTGGTTTGAATATTGTTGATCATTAAATACATTACATCAGTGTAGAAAAAAACTCTCATACCATTTTGATTAACTTTTGTTTTCATGTCAAAATTGGCAAAACTACTTTGTTCTGTTGTTTATTTGGTGTTTTTTTTCCAGTGCGTTGACATTTTTCAAATGTCCAATTTCTGTTCGTTTTTCAGCAAAAAAAAAATCTACAAACTAATGATAGGCCCATATTTATGATGACAAATGCATGATTAATTTTTATTTGTAATCCTGATAACAAATGGCTTTCTTTTGTTTTATGACCATTGATAGATATTTTGAACTGTTCTGCATGCAGCATCTTCTTTCTTCTGTTGCCATCCAATCATTTGTCCATTAAAAAATATGTTGAGCCTTTCGACAAACTTATAAAGAAAATGTCAGAGCTTCATCCTGCAATTTGTTTGATGTACGTCGCGCTGCTATATTGTAAACTGTATTGGAAGTGTTGAATTGATACTTCCACAAAAAGGGTCCTTCAGATATATAATTGCATTGGAAGGGTCTATCGCCAAATACTGACGTTGTCGCGAGAAGAAACTTGCGACTGGTCTGTTAGCTTTGCGTCGTAAAGCACTAAACTCGCGAACGCCTTTTGGGGATCATGTTTCAGGAGGATGAAGAGGAGCTTTTTCAAATTTGTTTATTGTTGCTGAGAAATCTATTCTTATGCGTTAAATCTGAAAAATCTTGATAACGTCCTAGTAAGTTTCGGTGAAAGTATGTCCAGACTGGCTCTGATGCGCCATTTTCCCTGTCACTGCATACTTAATTCCAAATTCTTCTACTGGTTCTTTGTGAAGTCTTCAGCAGCAAAATTATTAGTAACGGCACCTGCAGTGGAATGATTAGGCTCTTAGCCAGTGCATGCAAAAGGTATGAGTTTAATTCTCATGTGGGAAGTCTGTCCGTCAATGTCTTCGTTTGTCTGTTGGAAGCTGGACCTGCAAGTAGAGGGAGCAGGCAGATATATAAGCCATGGTGTACATTTACATAGTTGGTCCTAAAGTTGTTTATACTTCTACCAAATATTTATCGATGCTAGAACTCTGTCTTATTTGATACCGCTTAGTAAGAACCCTGACATTGATTGACACTGACATTGACACTGACACTAGTTTTGTGACAGTGGCGCTGGTTTGTTGATGGCAGTAACTCTGGTTTCATCATGGTGATGCCAGTTTTATGACAGTGATGCTGGTTTGATGATAGTCATACTTCTCGGCAGACCTTGTTGTTTTTTTTCAAAGACTCATTGAATGTATTTTGTCTGCTTCTGTAAACAGTTCTTGCGGGCTTCTTGAAATGGTTTTGCTTTTGTTCTGGCATTGGTCAAGTTTGCTTGTCGCATTGCCATCATCAGTCATCAAGTGCCAGCTCTGAAGCAAACATCGGCACTCATCTCTCTACTCTGATGCTCTCTAACAACCTATATGGGTGGCATTGTGGTGAAATCAAGTGCTTGTTAAAATAATTAAGCCACAGAAACGGGCATTTTTCTGCTCATTGGCCAATTTTTATAAATTTTTTGTTTTTTGGCTCACACCTTTTATGTCCATTTAAATGCACATTTTTGTATGGATTTTACTGAAAAAAGTTGATCAAAGGTACAGAAAATTTTAATTGGCAGTTTCCAAGGACACTCGAGCTTTAGAAGTCACCAAAAGCAGCCATTTTCTCGCTAATTTTACCTCTGGTACTAGACATCCCACACCCTCATCAATCGTAAATGCCTTTCTTCTATTCAAGGTTGATTGGTATTTTTTCATCAAAAGCAAGATGAATGAACAAGCTTTAAGATGACACCAACAACAAAAATAATTAACGAGCGCCTGATTCCATCCTGTTCTTTTCCAGACACCCATCTGTTCAAGTTCTCTAAGTATATTGTTCTTGTCTTGGTTGACCACCGGCCTCTTTTGCCTTCTATTTTTCCAGTGAAAGCAAGGTCTTCATGTGGATTGAGGTGTCCTAAGTCCTAGGAAGTGCAGTTGTCTCTTTCTTATTGTTTTATTGATGAGGGTCTCAGACATGCTGCTTTCAGCACTACCTCATTTTACTATTTTTTCCCCCTTTCCTTAAAATTCTAAACAGTCTCCCAAGAAACCACATTTTTGTTGCCTCTAATTTATTTTCACCATCTAAAGTGATTATCCAGCATTCACAGCCATATAGAAGAGTTGCCTCTAATTTTTCACCATCTAAAGTGATTATCCAGCATTCACAGCCATATAGAAGAGTTGCCTCTAATTTTTCACCATCTAAAGTGATTATCCAGCATTCACAGCCACATAAAAGAGTTGACCTCTCCTAGCCTTTACTTTAAAACGCTTAGTTTGATAGTCATTTAGATGTTTCTATTTTTCAGGATTAGACTCGTTTTATTGAAACATATCTGTAACCATAGCAATTATTCGTTTTATTTATATGATACATTTGGCGTTAGATGTGGTTTTATATCCTAGAAATTTAGACTGGTGAACCTGTTTGACCTTTTCAACCTTGCTTACGAAATTACATATAGGATTTACTGCTTTAAAAAAAAATTTACACTCTTTTCTACCCCGCGGCGGGGGGGGGGGGGGGGGGTGGGGGTTGTATTCAAGAAGAACCCTTCAGGTTCACTTTCCTCCACAAAAGTATCTTGAATCAATTGAAAGCTGTTTTTTAAATCTGGTGTTATCTGCATACCCTTGTTCATTTTGAGACTTTGTACCTTCTTCTTTGTTTCTAAAGATTGTGGGTGGTTGGGTTTGCTTCTTCTTTCCTTTCAAACATCTGTCTTCTTTATCTCCCCTCTTTCTTTTTTGTGTTTGTTACTCTCTTGTAACTCCTCTAATCTTCGGCACTTATATGACCTTATTGTGCTGCAAGTGCCGTAAAACTCTTACTAAAACTAATTTAAAAGATTGCTTCTTTGCATATGTTAAAGGGGTCTGGTGACATGACATAGCCTTGCTGTACTCTTCTTTTATGATATTGACTTTACTCTCTCTTAATTTGCACAGCGGTGTTCTGGTCGCAGTTGCCATACTGATAGGATTGTTTTTTTATTTTTCTTGTCATGGCTTTTCTTTTTTAGTCAGTCGAGCTCATATGTTTGTATAAACATTCATATGTATTTGTTGCCTTTGTCTGTTTGTTTGTTTGTGTGTATTTGTGGTGCGTGTGTGTGTGAGTGTATATGTGTATAGTTTGCTCATATGCATACTGTGTTTGTGTGTGTGTATATGTATGTGTGTATTTTTGCTCTCTTGCTTGCTGTGTGTGTGTGTGTGTGTGTGTGTGTGCGCGTGCGTGCGTGCGTGCATGCGTGTGCGTGTGTGTGCGTTAATGTGTGAGTGTGACTGAGAAATCAGTCTTTATGATCTAATTATCTGTTGTATTTCCGTACTGTAAGTGCTCATACATATTTTGAAATTACTTGTGACTATTGTTTGCATCTTTAATTTTCTTTGTTTTGATTTTGTTGGTATACTTGAGGCCTCTTCTTCCCTACTCTACATTTAAAAAGCAAAAAAAAATAAAAATCAGACTCAAGCCAGAGTGAAAAAAAACCCAAGAAAATGTGCCTCATCGTAGTATTATTCGCTCCAGTTTTTGGAGTTGATGGTTTTGTCATAAGTTGTCTAAAATTAAGATTTTGCTGCATCAGTACTACAACTTTTGCTGAATTATAAATAAATCATGAGCAAAGTGATACGTGCGCAGCAGCAAGACAAAATTCAATGAGTTCCGTGTCTCATTTTGACAATGTAACGTTGAGAGTGTCAAATTATAGATCTGTTCAAACTTAACAGGTGAGAAAAAACAATTATCTGTAGCTGCTGGAGGTTTTTGCCTGATATCCCGAAACAACTCAGTGCAACAAGCAACTCATATTGTCGGGTTGCTAAACATGATTTTATTTAGCCGACTTGTTCCTGTACGTTTTACGTCTTTGAAGTAGGGATTACTGATGGCTAGGTTGTAATGGTTAGGTTCTTCACCATTGCAGGCAGGCGGAAGACATGAGTTCAATTCTCGTGGGCAGAAGTTATTTTATAGTATCTTGATTTGTCTGCTGAGATATTATGTTCCACAATCTTCTTGGGGCGGTATGATGGACAAGCATGGTTGAACCAGTTGGGCTCCTAAATTATCTTAATTGTCTTAAAAGGGGTGTGGAAAGTTTAGAAAAAGTCAGGCCATTAAGTATTGTGAATGGTAGTTTTATATGAAGTGTTACTCATAATTTCTTTTTCGTTTTTTTGTGTTTGTTTTTGTTTTGTCTCGTTCTCTTTCAGTAAGGTTTTCTTTGTGTGTTTACTTGTCTGTTTGAACCTTTTCTGTAACCAAAGAATTCTTGTTATAAATGGACTGGGCTCGGGTTTTGATGTTCTGTTGTTTTGACGTTCCAATGTTCCAATGTTTTGATGTTCCGATTTTCTGATGTAGTGATGTCGCTCAGCAGCACCAATGGCAAGAACAGCTTCAGTGTTGTTGTTAGTTACCATGGGGATGACATTCATTGGACATACTGCAGTATTGCTTACATTTGTTGATGGGGTTTATATTCTGTTTCTGGGTACTCATTTATGTTCCAAAAACGCTTGGCTTAGATTCTTATGTGATAGGATTTTATTAAAAATGAAGATTTAGATTCCTGAAGACCTGAAAATTTGAGCTTTTCTTCTTCTTCTTCCCCCCCTTTTTTTGGGGGGGGGGGGAAGATGTATAAGGAGCTGAAGGTTCATTTATAGGAAACAAAGTTGAAACCGCTATGCTGAAAGTTGTAACTGATTCTTCTTCATTGTGAGTTTTTTAAATTCTTTCTTTAGAAGTAGTTCTTGTTTCATGGACTAATATTGTCTTGGAGAAAATACTTTTTAAAATTTGAAATTGTTGCGCTTAGAGAAATTTTAGGGGATTTCTTTTGTGTGTAAATTGAGGTTTGTTTCGGTGGGTTTTTTTCCACGATCAAGTCAAGGTCAGAATTTGTTTGATGTTGATAAAATCTAATCGTCATGTTATGAAAATTGTTTGATATTTGTCTTTTTGTTAAGACATGTCAGTTTTAGCTAGTAATACTGTTTTTGGTTTTCTATTTTGCCATATAAATTGTATATTTTGCAAAATTTGTCTCGACAAGAGGTTTCACATGTTTGTGCATGTTACGAGAGCTTTCACATAATTACTCAGTAGAATATTGGTGGTCTTACTCATTGTGTGTGCTGACATTAACGTTCTGAACATAATTCCAATGTACATGTGTTGTTGGCGCTTTGATGAAAAGTACACCACGTATTGCGTCTGTAACTTCTGACCAGGAGCTGCGTTCCTTTGTCTCTAAACCCCGCGGGGCAATGCCACTGACTGAATTGCCTCTAGGCCATTCCCAAAGGGGGGACATTTCTCATTCAAGCATAGTAGAATTGTAAATGGGCTGACTCATGTCACGCTCATAACTGTTCCTGATCTACAACAGGGAACTGCTGCTTTTTCTTTCCTGATCCTTACTATTGTCATTTTTCCTCTACTTCTTTTCTATGTTTGCCACTCCCTTGTGACCTGCTATTTTGGGGTGCCTTGATAGTCGAAGCAGACCTTGCGCTGTTGAAGCTAGAGAGGTGAGCAAGTCTGATTCCCTGTAAAGACTCCTCTGTTGACACCCACCCCTTGGCGCTCATATAACCTTATGCAGTTGCGAGCGCCGTAAAACCCTCTACTATAAAAAAAAAGTATATGAAGAAATCATAGTTTTGATTTCTACCTGTCGCTGATTGGATGTTGTGTCCTTAGGAAAGGCTTTTCATTAGGTGGGTTGAGGGCTCCACTGGTAGGTCCTTCTTCTTTTCTTTCCTACTGTTGTTTCTGTCTGTATGAGTGGTCGGAGGGTGCCTCTGGTAGGTCCTACTTCTTCTCTGTTCCACTGATGTTTCTATCTGTGTGGGTGGTTGGAGGGCGTCACTAGTAGGTCCTACTTCTTCTCTGTCCTTCTGATGTTTTTGTCTGTGTGGGTGGTTGGAGGGCGTCACTAGTAGGTCCTACTTCTTCTCTGTTCCACTGATGTTTCTATCTGTGTGAGGGATTGGAGGGCGCCACTGATAAGTCCTATTTCTTTCTTTTTTTTGTCCCCCACTGTTACTTGTATTTCTGTCTGTCAGTCTTTTTTTTAAAAAAAGAATCTGATGTCAGCAAATGTTACCAATTCCATTTACATGTGTGGATATTTGCTGTTGGGTGTAGGAACAAAAGTCTTTTGTCTCAGTTGATGCAACTGGGGGTTTTAATTTTAATTTCTTTTTTTTTTTTTTGGTCAGCCTGCTGTAGGTTACTTCATCATCTTGTTCACAGCCAGGTGACTGATACCTCTGTCTGAAGTGGATAGTTGGAGAGCATCACTGGCAAGTCCTATTTCTTTTCTTTCCCACATCTGTTTCTGACTTTCTTTCTTACTGTTTGCCTGCAAAGAATGTCTGTTTATTGAGTTAACGTGTTTCTCTTTGTCTTCACTTAAAAAGAAATATCTAAAAATACATATACATATATATGTATGTGTGTGTGTGTGTGTGTGTGTGCGTGCGTGCGTGCGTGCGTGCGTGCGTGCGTGCATGCGTGCGTGCATGCGTGCGTGCGTGCGTGTGTGTAAGCAGTACTTTGTGTCACTCTTGGTTGCATCTACTAGTAGTAGGCTACAAGATTCCCTTCAGACAGAATTGGTCTCTGGTTCAGAATGACGTTTTTGTCTTTCACCATAAATGACCGCAATGCCTTTCATGTTGATAATGTAAGACTAATCGATTAATTAACTTTGGACTCTTACCGTCCCATGCTCTCATTATTTTCTGTGGCTTTGTATTTAAATTATATCTTGCTTGGCTCAAGCTCTTCTTTTATGTGGGCGGTTGGAGGGTGTTGCTATAAGGGCGTGTCGTCTGCTCAGCTGATGTCAGTCATACTGGACTACTGAGTAGATGGCCTTAGTTTGAACCGCATTGCTGGGGCACTGAGAACTTATGTTGATTTAGGGAGTTTTTAAGGCTCCCCTCCCATTTGGCTAGGTCCTATCGGACTCCACAATTTCGCTGTTTCATCGCTGGTGGGCCCTTCTTTTCTTTCCTTCTTTTGTTTCTGTCTGTCTGTCTTATATTTTACCAGATCTAAATGACCGTTATTGTGTGAATATGCTTGTCTTTACTCAAACAAACAAATAAACAAACAGATAAACAAACAAACAAAGCTCTTCAGTCTTCCCTGTCATCTGACTAGATTAGTACTTGGATCACATCTTTCACTGAGATATTGCCTTATGATTAAAAAAAAAAATATCACTTTGCCGGACCAAAGTCCTGTTGTTGTTGGGTTTTTTTTAAAGGTGAAAATTAATTCGTACACTTAATTCAGAAAAAAAGTAAGGGATCGTTCCAGTTTAAACCCAAACTATCAACCTTTTTCTTTTAAACAATCTATTGTCCCTATCTCTCGTACGGTGGGTGGTTGGCGGGTGCTCTGGTGTGGTTTGCTTCTTTTTTCCTATGAAACATCTATCGTCCTTATCTCCCCTTCTTCTTTTTCTTGTTTGTTGCTCTCTACACCTCTAATCTTCTGGCGCTCATATGACCTTATGCAGCTGGGGGCGCCGTAAAACCTCTACTACTACTAAACTAAACTAAAACTGAGGTGAAAATTAATTCATACACTTAATTCAGCAACAACAAAAAATGAACAAAACAAGTAAGGGATCGTTCCAGTTTAAGCACAAACTATCAACCTTTTTCTTTTAAACAATATATTATCGTCCCTCTCTCTCCACCTTGGAGATCACCATTGTCTGTGATGTGGGCCGCGCGGTGTATGCGCTTTGCTGTCGCAAGCTGGTGACCAGAGTGGAGAATCGTTTTTGTATGTATCGAGTATCTCGGTCTTTTTGCTGGAGTGTTGTGTACCCCTCAGCCAAGGCATCCAAAAATACTTTAGTTTCGGTCACATCCTCGCCCTCAGCCCTGGTTAGTCCTGACAGGCAGGGTCGGAAGCCCGCCTCCTAAATAATCTAAATTGTGTCGATGGGGCGCAAAAACACCTACATTAAATTAAACCTCCTCTTTTTGTATGTTTCTAGCAACACCTCTATTCTTCGGCTCTTATATGACCTGGTTGAGTTGCAAAAAAAAATGACCCAATGAAAAAAACTATAAATAAAAAAACATACTGTATTTTGATAACCCCCCCCCGAAGAAGTAAATAAACAAGATAGTAAATATCAATGACGCAAATAAATGTTTTGATCTTCACTGTCCAAAAGTGCAAAAAGGGCATCTATAAACTGGTTAACGACAAGCTCCTTGACGTTCGTTTGATTCTGGCATGGGAATGGGAACGACATTTCTTTGGGCATCTCCGTCTGTCTTCTGGGATACAGTAGGCCTATCTCCCACCCAGCCTCGATGGTGTGGGTGGTTGGCGGGTGCCCTGGTGTGGCTTGCTCCTTCTTTTCTATCAAACATCATTCTGTCGTCCTCATCTCCCCTCCTTTTTTGTGTATGTTACTCTCTTGTAACACATAATCTATTCTGCGGCACTTATTTGACCATATTGTGTTGCAAGTGCCGTAAAACTCGTACTAAAACTAAAAGTAAAGCCTCGATGGGTCTAGCGGGTGTTTGGAAGGCGCCACTGGTAGGTCTTCCTTCTTTGTTTTCTTCTGTCTCTCTGTCTGTCTCTCTGTCTGTCTTGCTTCGTCCCTGCACTATTGCATGACCATTGTTGCGTCAATGTGCTTCTTTTAACTCAAACAATACTCGGTGGGTCCCGACAACCGGGGTTCGACGAAGCACCCCAGCCCCTTGAGGATCTAACGTGTCGGTAGTGGCTTGAAACATGGCGTATATAATTTATAAATGCATCAAATGTTTTCTCACTGTAGATCTAGTTCAAGTGAAGACTTATAACGCATAGTCTAAATGGATTTGATAGAGGCTTGAAATATTTCTAAAGCATCAAGCTTTTTTAAAACTTGTTATTTGGTACGCATGGTCCAAATTTGGTCACTATTGGCGTAAAACGTGAACAATATGGAGCAGTGTATAATCCCCCCCCCCCCCTGTGGTTTTTGGGCTGATGGTGATAGAGACAGATCACGATGTGTTTGTTCTTTTAGTCTAAGGCTTGGCCCTGTGTAACTCGCTGATGGCTCGTGTATCAATCATTGCTCCTCTCTGGCTGTTATACATCATGTCCGTATGCTATACAGACAGTGGAGTCCGCTTAAACCGAATCCTGTAAACCCGAAACCATCGGTAAACCGAAAGAAATTTAATAGGGCTTACAATCCCCGGTTTATTTTTCTTCTTATATTTGAGCAACCTCTGAACCCGGTAAAAGCGAAAAAATCCGGTGGTCCGTGCAGGTTTCACTTCAGAAATACCTTCGGGTTAGGCGGGCTCCACTGCTAATCGATGGTGTCGGGCACAGACTACAGGCATATCCCAGTAAACCAACTTTAAAGGACAGTCTTAAAACTGTTTAATTAAACTGTCATTGACCACTTCGACTCAAATTCTGGGGGGAAAGTGAATACGGTACTTTTAAAAAACAAACATACAATTGATTTGAAAAAAAAACCAACCAAAAAACAAAAAAACCAACCCAGAAAGAAAAACAAAACCGACCAACAAACTGATGTGCAGCGAGATGGTGACGCATCTATTTAACATTGCTTTGAATTGAAGTAAAAACATCAGGGTTTAGAAAAAAAAAGCAAAGTTGGAGTTGGCCCGTTTGTTCCCGACACCATCTCTATAATAATAATAATATTATTATTGTTATTATATTTGATATAATATATACATATTATACCTTTTGTCATAACTAAGTTAATTTTTTCTCTAAGTTATATCTTAAACCTTTCTTCTTTCGTTTTCCTGTATCTCTTCATTTTGTGTTGGTCGTCCGAGTTTTGTCAAGTTGCTGCACGATTAACTATTATGTAATGTACATCGTTTTGGAAATAAAACAGGTCTGTATTATTTTCATCGGTACTTTGGTTTTGGTTTATGGTTTGAAGAGTGGCGTTGTGTGTGTGTGTGTGTGTGTGTGTGTGT